TGTGTGTGTGTGTGTGTGTGTGTGTGTGTGTGTGTGTGTGTGTGTGTGTGTGTGTGTGTGTGTGTGTGTGCGTGTTGCCTGTGTCGTATTTGTGTGCGTATATATATTCTATTTGGTTTGCCTACTTTAACATGTCCTCTGTTTCGTGATAGTTAAATGACAATAACAAATTTTCGATAATGGTTTTCACAGTGAGCTTTGTATGCGAAAGTATTGGTTTAATTTTATTCACTCTATTGTACAGTTTTAAACTTAGCGCGTTGTATTGCTGTTTCGCCCACGAAGTCCGACATTTTATTTGATGACAAACAGGAGCTCTCGACCTCCTCATTGTTATTTTATGATCAAAAGGTATTGATGAATGTTTACGTAAAAGAATACGAAGTATCGACAGCTGCCTCACTGTAAGCACTTTACATTCATGAAATAATTTTTCCGTAGAGTATGTTCTTGGCTTACGCAATAAAACCTTGAGTACAGCCCTCTGAGCTCGTTCCAATCTCAAAAGGCTTGTTTTATTTGCCCCACCCCAAACCGAAATGCAATATGATATTACTGACTGACACAGACCCTTATAGATTATAAAAAGAGTGTTTTGATCAACTGAACTGCACAGTCTCTTGAAGACATAAATCAACCTACGAACCTTTGCTGTGAGAATCTGAATTTGTACATGCCAGTCGAGTTTGTCATCAACGTACACTCCCAAATATTTGACACTATTCACAACTTTTAAAGGTTTGCTACTACATACACACGGATCTTTGTCATGACGGTGATGAATTTTAATGTCATCATTAGGTAGATCTTTAAGGTGTTTCTTGGAGATGTCAAATCGAATAACTTGCGTTTTATCTTGGTTTAAGGTAAGAAGATTCTCATCTAACCAGATCTTGATTTTTGCAAGTGCACTCTCTGCATTTGCCTTTGCGGAGATCCAACTATCACCATAGACTAGTAGTGCAGTATCATCAGCATACGTAAAAATGTCGCATTTCTCAAGAGACATGCGACACAGCTGGTCAATATATATTAAAAAGAGAGTGGGACCTAGTATGCTACCTTGGGGAACGCCATAACATATTAATTTTTCATCACTAAATAAAGATCCTATTTTTACATTTTGTGTTCGGTCTGTCAGGTAACTTGTGAACATATCTAATGTAAGGCCCCGTATACCTACCTTTTCAAGCTTGGCCAGAAGAATAGGCACAGAGACGGTATCAAAGGCCTTGGAGAGATCCAGGAAGACACCGTAACATTTTAACTTTTTCTCTATTTTTGAGACAACCGTACCGACAAAGTTAGAAACGGCGTCCTCCGTAGAAATACCACTACGAAAGCCATATTGGTTGTCAGACAGTATTTTTAATTTTGTCAAATATTGCACAAGTGAAGCATTAAGATATCTCTCCAGAAGTTTCGAGAAAGCAGTCAAAACGGAAATGGGCCTGTAATTAGAAAGGACATCCACGTCGCCCCCTTTATGAATTGGTGACACAACAGCTCTTTTAAAGGCACCCGGAAACACTCCCCTCTCTATGCATAGATTGAAAATATGTACCAGGGGCGGTGTCAGTGCACTGCAGGACTGTTTGATAACTCGAGAGGGTATTTCGTCCCATCCAGTCGCACAATCACTACGAAGTCCCAAAATCAGATCTTTTATTATAGACTCGTCTACAGGTAGGATGGCAAAGGAGCCACCTCCGGTGTTTGTTTCTTCAATATTATTCTGGGTCTGTTGTATATGGGGCAATATTTTAGAGGCAAGATTTTTGCCAATATTTACAAAATATTCATTCACACAATTCAACGAAGCTTTACTATCATTTTTAATATTGAGAAGTTCAACAGCAAACTTTTTACATTGTTTAGTGTTAGTTACCGTTTTAACGACATTCCATAAGGCCCTAGGATTATTTTTTGCCTTTTCAAACTGACATTTTTCGTAGGCAGCTTTAAGATTTTTCAAAAGTTTGTTGCAAAAGTTACGGTATCTGCAGTAGGTGATTTTTAAAATATGATTATCAGGTGAACCTCTCAATTTAAGGTGCATTGAATCGCGATTTCGTATACAACGTAGGATGCCAGGGGTTATCCAGGGTTTAATAATAACATTTTTACGAGATACTTTTCTAGTTGTTTTGTGCTTTTTGATTACAGTTTGTATAATGGTTATCAAATTGTTTGTCGCCAAATCTGCATTTGATTCTTTTAAAACTATGCTATAATTTGCCGTATCCAATTCGTGCTTTACGCCTTCGAAATCAATTTTACTAACTGTACCACAGGATCCATGTCTCTTTATTTTATTTTTAGTTTTTAACGATAAAGCTGTAGGATAGTGATCAGTGATCTCACTCTGCATGACTACTGCAACAGCTACAAGCTTTGTTTTTAAAAAGATATGGTCTAGGCAATTTTCTGATCTAGTAGGGTAGGTGCAGGCCGGAAGGAACCCCAACGACGACATAAAGGTAAGATATTCATCCGAATGATGGTCTTTATTATTATTTTCCTTTATGTCCACGTTGAAGTCTCCCATTATTGCGATATTAGGATATTTCAATGAATTAATTATAATTTCAAAACTGTTGTAAAATTTGTCAAGATTGTAATAAGATGGAGAGCGATATACTGCAACTATAGCAACATCACCAACACCACAAACCAAACAGTTAGCGTCAAAGATGTTTGGTTCACTAATTTGATAATTTAAGGAAGATCTTATATATATTACAACTCCATCATTTTGAATTGGATTATTCAACGTTTGATGGGCAGTGTAGCCTGTAAGAGAAGGGAGAGGACCAGCAGATCTCAACCAACATTCGGACAGTATAATAATGTCAAACTCTATTTTAGTTGCTATCAACGTGGCTAGAAAATTATCGAAGTTTTTATTTATACTCCTAATATTGGCATGTATTATATTAAGCGATAAGTTATTATACAAGTACTCTATACAGGTTTCGGGTGTACAGCAATAGGATTGTGCGGGTCTTATGCTGTCAATATCAACTATTATATTATCTAAGTCTGTCATTTTTATTTAAAGCAACATTGTTTATTTACATTTATCATCATTAAAGACAACATAAGACCGGCACAGTCCAACAAATATAGTAAATTATTTTGTAAAATTTTACACCCTCTACCTAAGAAGGAGAAAGCCTGTACTAGCCATAGGACAAATGTACATTGTTCAATATCTATCATAATAACAAGTTTAAAATGAGACATATTTAATATATACTTGTAGAAATAGTGATGTGATAGGCGTGCGTTGCAGTGTTTTTCGTGTTTTTGTTTAAATGTGAACAAAAGAAAACGAGATGTTGTTTCACATAGAATATTTGAGAATTTATAATATAATGAAATAACCATATTTAACAATTTAGGACATGTATGTATGTTAAGGGAATTTTTATAGTAGGTTGGAAATAAAGTAGTGTAAATAGTAGTATTTTTATGTGTGTTGAATATGTGTTCGTGTATTGTTTGACAGTATGAAAGTTTGAATAGCTCGGTGGCGTAGTGGATAAGTGCCGCGGCCCGCGATCGTAGTCGTTAAGCAACTTTCGCAAGGGTCGGTCACAGGATGGGTGACCAAAAAATTATTATCTCGAGCTACTCCGTGCTTCGGAAGGCACGTTAAGCCGTTGGTCCCGGCTGCATTTGCAGTCGTTAATACCCTCCAATCCGCATTGGGCCAGCGTGGAGGGTCATGGCCCATCCTCCTTAACCATCCATAAGGAAGGCCTGAGCCCCTGCAGTGGGGACGTAAAAGGGCTGGTGATGATGTGATGTGATGTGATGAAAGTTTATTTCTTGTACATTTATATATCTGTAATGTAAGATAAAAAAGAAAGTTAACCAGCCTACAGAAAAGTAAGAAGATTAGGCAGACATTTCTCAGACTTAACATGTATATATTTAGTGTTCGAATCTTTGCGGAGCAGCACCCTGCCCCTAGATATCCAGCAAAATTTAAAATTATGTTGTTTTGCAAATTCACGGGTTTGAAACAGAAGTTTGCGAGTTGAGTAGGGAAGGTGCTCATCCACATAGATTGGTCGCTTGTCACCCGACTTTCCGATGTGCTCATGATTGAGCTTCTCTGATGCCTGCCGGTTTCTGTTGAAACGACGGGTGGAATGAAGAAAGTTGTTTTGAAATTGTACAGAATTGAATTCAACTACTATCGCCTTAGTTGTCCCCGGTTTTCCTGGGCGCCTGTATATATCTCTTATATCTTTGTCTTCTATATTAATATTAATGGTGGAACCAAGATTTTTAATAATTTCAGTAAGCTCCTTCTCAGTCTCCTTCCCTTCCTCTGTCACATTTCTGATTTCAATAGCTGAAGATCTTGATAATTGTTGGAATTCATCCATTTGCTTTCCTAGCGCCATTAACAATTCAGTATTCTGGTTTTTCTCTAGTTCCAACTTTCCAATCTTATTTTTTACTTCTTCATATTGTGCACCTAAAGAAGATATCGATTTTTCGATTCCGCAATTTGTTGTTTGTATATCAAAACATTGATTTTTCAGTGCTGTTATGTCCGCAACAAGTTTTGATAATGTGGCATCTTGATCTGTTTTCCATGAGGTAAGCATAACCATAAGCTCTTTTTTTAAATCTTGCAAATCATTCTCGGTATTACTTTGGGGCGATAATTCCATTCGTAAGCGTTTTGAACGAACCGCTGTCTTATAACTTCCCGTACAGGTATTTGGCCCTAAAAGTTGGACAAAATCCATTTTTTTTGTTTTAGTAAGACACTCTTTTTTATTATTCCTCGAAATTCAACAGTATCCCCTCCTAACAATAGCACGAATCCGATACGCTAGAGTCTTTCCCCCACTCCATACAGTCAGTCGGAAGTTACCGTTCGCTTGACGTGGTCGTGTAATTATTCAATACGCTCGACTTTCGTTGTTTTCAAATATTAAATTTATGGTGAAAAAGTCTATTTCGTGTGAGTTTCTACTATGGATTGTACACAATCAGGTATGTTCTTTATATTTTATTTAGTTTTGTTATAAAAAGAGGGATTTTTTGTACCTTTACCTCCATTAGTAAGTAGCACTTAAAAAGTCGTATAAAATACGCATTTTAAAAAGTCATTAAGCGTTTTAAAGTATTTCTGATTTCTAAGTAAAAATTTTTATGATTTGTTTTAAAGTAGACTCTATAGTATTCTAAAATGCATAGATCAGCCACCCAAACCCACCCCTCTATTTTTGGCAATTATTTTGTTGCATGGACTAAAAAAAAACATGTGTTCTGTGTTTTTATGAAAATTGGTTTATCTTGTATCCAGGCTCTTCTGGGATGCGGGTATTAACTAGAAACGATTTATTTACTATCATGGAACACTCCAATGCGTCAACTTTTAACGAAAAGTTGGAATTTATGGAGTTGGAACTTCTGCATCAATACTCTGAAGGTGACCCAAACATTGCCGAAGCAAAGCATAAGTTGTCGATCATACGTCATCAATTCAAGCAGAAATGGTCAGCTGCTCGCAATACCAAAGCCAGATTCCTGGACATGAATAAAGAATGGCTCAAGGGCACCATATCCCTACCAAAATCGAGTACCTATTTACGTGAGACATTACTCTTTTTTTGGTTCGATTACATTTCATTGAATTTTATCAGTTACTAATAAAGGTTTATCTTTTGTTATAGGATTAAATACAGGTAGACCTCAAAAGTCATTCTCAGAATTATCTGAAAGGAGTAAAAGGCGAAAAACTGAAGAGCTTCGAACATCTGACTTACATGAGCTGGCATACGCAACACAAATGAAATTGCGAAAGACTGGTGAAGTCGAAGCATCAAAAATCGTAAAGGTCCTTACCAGAAGTCCTCTGAAAGCAAAACAATATTCAGCAGCAATAAAAGAAAAAACAGCTGAACAACAAAAAGAAGTTTCAACGAAATTGGCACACCTTCGTTCCCTGTTTATGTTTGTTGAAGCGGGGCTTACTCAGGCTCAGTATGAAGTGGTTCGAGACACAAATCCAGACTTTTACCCGTGCTATTCAATTCTAAAGAAGTTGAAGAAAGAATGTTACCCCGAAATCCACAGCATAACTGAGACCTGTGCAGAAGTAAGGGTACAAAGCTTAATGGATCACACAATCAAGCGGTTATTATTGCATCTTGGTGAGGAAGTCCTGGAGCAACTGACTGAATCTGAAAAGCAGTCCTTTGTGCTCATCAGCAAATGGGGTTGTGACGGATCTCAGCAGACTCAGTATAAAATGAAATTTGAAAATGAGACTGATTCCGACGCCAACATTTTTCAAAGCTCTGTCGTTCCACTTCAACTTGTCTATGGAAAGAAAAAAAAAATTATATGGCAAAACCCAACTCCATCATCACCACGATATTGCAGACCAATACGCATACGATATGTGAAAGAAAACACTGACGTGACCAATGAGGAGATCGAGTACGTTGAAACTCAAATAAAAGAACTAAGCAAGACCAAGATCGACGAGATATCCATCAAACACAAAATAGTTTTTACCATGGTGGACGGCAAGGTATGTAACGCAGCAACACATACCAAGTCAACCATGAGATGTTACATATGTGGCGCCACATCCTCCGATTTCAACGACCTTACAAAAGAAAGGCCCTGCAATACGGAAAATATGCGATTTGGTCTGTCTTTGCTGCACGCTCGAATAAGATTTTTCGAGAGCATTTTGCATGTAGCTTATAAATTACCGGTCATGAAATGGAGGGCTCGCCTGACTGCCGAAGAGAAGAAACTAGTGGAGACACGAAAAAAAGAAATCCAAACCAAGTTTCGTGAAGAACTAGGATTACTAGTAGATATTCCAAAGGCTAACTTTGGAAACACAAATGATGGGAATACCAGCAGGCGATTTTTCGAAGAATACGAAAAATCTGCAGAAATAACTGGGATAGACCAGAATTTAATCTACCGATTAAAAGTCATTCTAGACACCATGTGCTGCGGGATAAAAATTGATACACAAAAATTCGAAATTTACTGCAAAGAAACTGCTGAATTGTACGTTTCTTTGTACAATTTTCACCCAATGTCGCTGACATTACATAAAGTGTTGCGTCCTGGGTCAGCTGTGATAAAGGAGGCGATTCTGCCAATCGGGCAACTGTCTGAGGAAGCTGCAGAAGCCCGCAATAAGCACATTCGAGCCTTTCGGCTAAACTACTCCCGAAAATTTTCGAGAGTAGCTTGCAACACAGACGTTATAAATAGGTTGTTATTGACATCTGACCCCTTGCTGACGGGAATGAGAAACGCTAAACATAAAAGAAAGAGGAACCCTCTTTCAGCGGATACCATGAATCTTTTGGAGGAAAATGATATTTTCAATATTAGTATTGAAAATGATTCTGAAGATGATGAAAATTAGAAATAAAATTTGTTAAGAATAATGTTTGCCTTTTTTTAACTCTATTATACCTAAAACTAGAACAAAATACTTTAATAATACTATAAAACGCAAGAAATATTTTTGTCCGACTTTTAGGGCCAAATCGGCGGCTTATCTGCTGCCGATGAATCCGATTCTGTTTGTGATTGTGTCTGCTTGGATGGGGAAACGGGCGGGCTACGCTGGACTTTAGGCATTTTCACGATAAAAGTACGATCGAAAATAGTTTAACAGTAATCACCGACTTCGTAGATGCAGTGTAGTGCCGTAGCAGACGCAATGAATTCGTAGCAAACGTAGCAAGACGTAGCACAACGTCACCTTTCGATAAGAATCTTTTATTTCACCGGTTGCTACACGGCTTTGATAGCGGCGCAGTTTTCGTACCAGACGCAGCAACAATCCACGAGACCGAGTTCGAATCTCCGCCCAGCACACAATTTTATGCACACGGATTTATGTCAAATTAGTTATCCCACTCTAGGACTGCCCAGTAGGAGGAGTTACTCCGTTTAACGACCCCTTGCGAGACAAGGAATTAAAAATTTCACTCACGGCCAATCACAAAAATTGAATTAATTAAATATCTGAAAAAACGACACTAAGACAGCACACGACCGCTCCGAACCAAGGAAGGCGGAGGAAAGAATATGTTATTACTATGAAGCTTAAGAAAACAATTGTATTCTGTGACTCAATGAGCGCTCTCAAGACTGTTGGTAAATTTCCCTTTCGAATGAAAACATATTATCCTGTTATTTCTGAAATGAGAAAATTACTTTATAAGTGCTATGTTAACAATTACCACATCCAATTTATGTGGATCCCAAGTCATTGCAGTATAGGTGGTAATGAGATAGCTGATAGATTAGCGAATGAGGCCGTGAACTATGGTGACATGCATCCCTATAAAAATTTTAGCCATGACCTCTAGTCTATAGTCAAGACTGACCTTCATAATGCCTGGTGTAATATTTGGGAAAATAGTTCAAGTAAAAAAGGTAAATTTTATGCTTCTATTCAACCACACATTTCCATTAAACCATGGTACCGTACTACTGATTACGGAAGAAAGGCCATCTCAGTAATTATTCGAATGCGACTTGGACACGTTTGCACACCTGATCATCTCTCTAGACTTGGTATTATTAACAACAACGTTTGTGACTGCGGTAAGGGTATTATTGGCGAATTAAATCATATCATTTTTGCTTGTTTAAAGTATGATCGCTCTTTCTTTTTAAATGACCTAATATCCATTAAAATCCCTTTCCCAACTTCCGTATCCTCTTTGCTCGCTACGAATAACCCATCTGTATATAAATCTCTAGCAAAATTTATTATTTTCAACAATATTAAACTGTAATATAATTTATTTCTATCATCCCTTTACCTTATATTATAATAATATCCTTCATCTGATCCTTATACCCTTCTAATCCTTATTATTCCAAATTCCCGAAATCCTATAACTTTTTTCCTGACATTTCCCTAACTTTGCTTACAAATAAATTGTCATTGGCTAAAGCATGGCTAAAGCACAAACCGTGCGAAGCCAAAAAAAAAAATTGTCAGTGTTGTTATGGATGTGATAACTCAGAATAATATCGAGTTGAAATTTAACTAATCGAGTTATGCAAACGCAACTCGATTAATACAAAGTAATCTTTGAACAAATTTCGTTTTTATTTGTATAGAGGAAAACGGAACCTAACATAATGGAAGTAAGCACTGAAGTTTTTTAAATGTATGAAAATCAATTGAATTGATACTGTGATATAATTAAAAGTGGCATTTAGCTATGGTATACAATAATATTACCGCCAAATAGTTTTTATAAATAAAATACTTATGCCATAGTAGGTCTAGGAATTTTTCATTATAATATTTAACAAAAGTTCATTAGTTGTTTATTGAACTTACAACAACAAACTACATCAAGACTCAATAATATTTCTATATTATGTATGGTAAATGGATGAATATTAGGGTTTATTAATCAGCAACTAAAGTCATAAAAACGTAAATTTAAAAAAAAATCCGTTTATTATTTATATATGTTAAGTATATACATACCAAAGACAAGTATATGAAGATACTTGTTCCTAGTTCTAAGTTCTTAACATGTTTTAGTTGCTTAGTAACTTGTTGTTATTTTATAAGAAGAGTTTCTGTTATGTTTTCTTCAGTCAGTAAATATTTTATTCGAATTCAATAGATATTCTCATTTATTCTTAACATGGTAGCAGAGCGTTTAAATGAGTAAGTAAATTATATTTAAAAATATAAGAAAACTAGAATATCTAGTCTAGAATATCTAGAAAAATGTCGAATATAAGGATCGACCCATTAACAAAAGACAACTATGATACTTGGGTCATTCAGGCTGAAGCAGTGCTTATACGCCACAAACTGTGGAAATATATTGAAAATACTTTAAGTCCTGATGCTAGTGAATCTGAGAAAGATGGAGACAAACAAGCGAAATCAGAATTGATACTTATTATCGCTCCGTCAGAACTCAAACAAATTAAGCAATGCAATACAGCAAAACAGGTCTGGGACAAGTTGAAGTCCATTTATGCAAGTAAGGGACCTGCGCGTAAAGCATCCTTACTGAAGCAATTAATCCTAACAAAACTCGAAGAAAAAGATGTTCGAACACATCTGAATAACTTCATGGACATTGTTGACAAACTATCGGATATGGACGTACATATCAATGAAGATTTGCTGACAATAATGTTGCTTTATAGTCTTTCTGCTGAATACGACAATTTCAGAGTGGCTATTGAATCACGAGACGTTCTTCCTAAGCCAGAGGAGCTTAAGACAAAAATTATTGAAGAATCTGATGCGCGTCACAACAGAAACTTAGTTAATAATGAAGAACCTGATTTCTCACAACAAGAGGATGCACTGTATGCATCTTGTAGAGTTTGCAAACGAAGAGGTAACATCTTCAAACGCAAATATCATAAAATTTGTACAAATTGTTTCCAAATAAATAAAAACAAAGAAAAGCTCAACAAGAGGTACGACAACTCATTGAAGAATCACTTCGCCACTCAATGCCTCCTTATACGTAACGGGAAGTCTGATAACAACAATTGGGTGTTAGACAGTGGTTGCACATCTCATATGACCTATCAACGAGATTTATTTAAAGCTTTAGAGAATACATCAAGAAAATTAAACTTTGCAACTGAAGATTTTACTGCAGATATTAAAGGAAAGGGTACAGTCACTTTTCAAACTAAAAATGGTGATAAAAGAGCTATTACGCATCTTCAAAACACTCTTTATGTTCCTAGTTTGCATACGAATCTAATGTCAGTCAGCAAAATGACAGACGCTGGCTGTACTGTTCATTTTTCTAAAAATAAAGCGACTGTCAATAATCACAAAAAACGAATCACTCTCACTGCATTTAAACAACAAGATGGCCTTTACTATATTAATCCCTACAAACTTGAGCGTAACAATATGGCCAATGATAAACTTGTTATCGTTCCTAACGTGCGCAAAATAAATTCATCGAACATAAATGATTGGCACAGAAAATTAGGCCATATGAATGTTAAAGATATGAAATTTGCACTGAATAAAGAGTACTTGATTGGCTTAAATTTTGATAAATCTGAATCATTAAATGAATGTGAAGCCTGCATTCAAGCCAAGTTACATCGGGTACCTGCGCCAGTTACAGTGAATCAGCGAACAAAAGCCTGCCTAGAAATAATTCATTCTGACGTCTGTGGACCATTTCGAACGGCATCGGTACGTGGAAACAAATACTTTGTTACCTTCATCGACGACTATACTCGATACTCTAGAGTTTATCTAATGAAAAACAAGGACGAAGTTCTCCATTATTTTAAAGAATTTAAAGAGTTGGCTGAAACGCATACTGGAAATAAAATCAAGTTCATTCAGTCTGATAACGGTAAAGAGTATGTAAATAAAGAATTTGATTCTTATCTCAAACGTTGTGGGATACAGCGTAGGTTAACCGCACCCTATACTCCGAATCAGAACGGAATTGCCGAACGTAAGAACCGTACACTCGTGGAGAAAGCGAGAGCAATGATGATTGATGCAAACGCACCATTTAGACTTTGGGGCGAAGCAATAACAACAGCAAATTACTTATCAAATAGAAGTATTAATAGCGCTATTGGAAATGAAACGCCTTTTAAACAGTGGGTTGGGAGACACCCGTGCATTAATCATTTGTATGCATTTGGTTTGAAGACTTACGTGCTACGAAAGGGTTCTAATAATAATAAATTTGCACCTAAAGCGATTCCAGGAATGTTTGTAGGTTACTCTGAAACATCAAAAGCTTTCAGAATTTTTATTCCTTCTAAAAACATTGTTCTTATTTCAAAAGACATTAGAGTTATGAAAACAATGTACTACAATGAACATGATAATAAAAACGAATTGTCAATTCTTCTCAATGATTTAAAAAACAAAGAGATTAAAAATACGCACAAACAAGTGGATATATCATTTGATGATTATGATCACGCGTCTAGCAGTGATGAATCACTTTCTGGTTATATTAATGATGACGATGACAATGATAACGATGATGCACAAGTACAAATCGATAACGTTGTAGACACTGTGCAAAACGATGAATCAAGATCCTTGAGAGACAGATCTGCAATCAATGTTCCTAAACGCTTTGATGATTTTATAATGGCTGCAGCTGAAGAAATAGAAAATCTTCATAAGCCTAAAGAACCTACCACATTTAAAGAAGCCATGGAATCTCCAGATAGAGATAAATGGCAAGAAGCCATGCTCAGTGAAATTAATTCACTAAATGACAACCAAACCTGGGAACTGATGGATTTACCTAAGGGACGAAAAGCCCTGCCTTGCAAGTGGGTGTTTAAAGTAAAAATGAATCCTGACGGTTCCGTAGAACGATATAAAGCCAGAATGGTTATTAAGGGTTATTCACAACAACTTGGAGTGGATTACGATAAAACTTTTAGCCCAGTGGTACGTCTGAGTACAGT